TCTCTCTCTCTCTCTCTCTCTCTGTGTGTGTGTGTGTGTTATGCCATCACCTTAAAATATCGAGGGAAAAGTTATAAAACCTGCCCGCGACAAAACCATTGTACTCATTTCCCCCCAAACAGGGAGGTTTTATAACTTTTCCCTAATATCCAGTGCAAGACATTTCTGTTTGTGATATTTATGTATGCGGTGGAGAAGGGGTCGCTCGGGTGATTGTCTGAAACACACACTCGCCCGCACACACACACACACACACACACACACACACACACACACACACACACACACACACACACACACACACACAGAAAAAAAAAGTGTCCTATCTCGCCGATGATCTCGGGCATGGCATGGTCGTTTTGAAAAGGGAGAACTGTAGGGGCTCGCATCCCTCTCCCTCTCCCTCTCTCTCCTCCTGTCCTCCTGTCCTCCTCTCTCTCTCTCTCTGTCTCTATGTGTGTGTGTGTGTGTGACTCTCTGTCTTGTGTCGTGTTGCTGAAGTGGGTACAGTGCTTCCATGTCATCTTGACAACTACGTCCATGGCATCATTCTCTTCCTCTCTCTCTCTCTCTCTCTCTCTCTCTCTCTCTCTCTCTCTCTCTCTCACGACAAGAGGAATGGTAACAAGTACATGGAGGGAGAGAAAAGGTGATGGGAGTGAGAGCAAGCACTATGCAGATTGTGGGAGTAAAAGGAAGTACTATGCAGATTGTCGAGGAAGAGCGAAGCAGGTGGGAGTGGTGGCAAATATGTGGACTCCGCTATAGCACCAACCCCCTCCCTTGTCCACCTCTTCCTTCTTGCCCTTCGTCAGTATGCCCCTCTCGATGCGATAGCAACCCCTCTGTGAGAGAGAGAGAGAGAGAGAGAGAGAGAGAGAGAGAGAGAGAGTACGTCCTCCTCTTCTATTCCCTTTGTCGTCCCCCATTCTCCTCCTCGATTTTTCCGCTCCTTCCTCCTCGCGCCTTGTCCTCCTGCCATCACAATAGTCGTGCCCTCTCTCCTCTCTCACCTCGACGCCCTTCGTTGTTCTCCTCCCTCTATCCCCTCCTCCTCGTCGTTCTTCTCCTCCTCTGTCCCCCGTAGCAGCACTCCTTCCTCATCTCCCTCGTTCTTCCCCTTCGTCGTCCTCTTCTCAATGCCTTATCGCCCCCCCCCTCCCCCTTTCTCCTCCTTGCCCTCTCTTATACTTCTCACTGTCTCGCTTCCAATTTCAGTCCGCAGGTGCACAACCAATCTTTAGAAAAAGGACTTCGGGAGTGCACGAAACTCCGTCTCTCTGTCTCTCTCTCTCTGGCCTTCGGGACAGAGAAGATTGGCATGGCCGCTGCGCAAGGAGGACAC